AATCTATTCATTGAATTTTGTTATTTTCAGACTTGCATCTTGTATTCAGCAAATTAATGTCCCAGTGAACCACGACAAATTATATACTGAAACGTAGCCGAGTTGAAATTGAATGGAAATTTTGAATTAGGTGCTCCTTCAAGCATTTGGAAATAAGTTATACTCGCTTAGCATTAATTGAATTCGTGCATTATTATACATTAGAAAATTAATATGAATTTTTGGCCTAATAAAAGGAAAATTAGGAACAGCATATAATTCTCAGCAAGAAAAAAAAGAAAAATAAAGTCACGTAAATGTTAAGTCTATTTAATTTTAAAAGTAATAAAAGTAGTACTAAACAGTTGACGATGCAGTTCTGATTTTTATTCAACCAAAATTAACTTTATTCCTTCTTATTCTTACAAAATGAATGAGAAAAAAAGTTTGGAAGGAATATAACGCTATACAGTTTGTTGTTGAGCACTAAAATAACGCCAAATCGTAATTTTTTATTTGATCGCAAAATAGCGTAAACCTAGTAACAATACATTTTTCTATATTATCTTCTAAGCGTCAATGCTTCCCATCTGATTTATTAAAAGCGAAAATGTTAAGTATAAAACCGTTTAATGCTAAAATACGATATGTGAAATTTTTGATTAGGTACGAACTAATGTCATATGTTAATTTTTGTATGCGTGTTTTAATTTTCATTATTAAAAATCGACGAAAAAAAAGGCATGAATTTTTATTTAGTATGTGAGAAAATATATAAAATTATGCACTATCTATTTGATTGTTCAAATTAGAAATATTTTTCCTTTCTGAGCAAAAAGTACAAAACTATTAAATATGTATTTTTTTTTTCACTTCACCCATTAATTGCCCTATCTATCGGAAAAATATTCCTACAATTTTGTGGTTTTTCATAACTTGCCAGTATTACGAGAATGCCACTATGATTAAATGTACTTTATTCAAAATTTATTCAATACTTGTGACACATTCCATGTCGGATGTAATTAAATGAAAAAAAAGAGAAAATAAATCTCTTGAAAGTGAGAAAATTTTTGCACTCATTATTTTAGGAATGCTTAATTTCTAAAAATATGGATGAAATAAAAGGGTGAGAGAGATAGCTATCAACAAAAATGAAGTTCATTAGGGACTTTCTTAATAGAGTTGTTTTCCGAATATGTATCACTTCTCGTATTCATTCATTCATCCTCTTTTCTCACTAAGCTAATAGCACTCTAATTACTTTGAATTTTCTGAGTGTTGTAAGAATTTTGGTAAGAAATGATCTTTTTTGATGAAAACTTTTTTTAAGTATGAAAAAAAAGTAATCAGACATATACCGAAGAGCATTGAGTGAGAGATGGAATAAAACCAATTGTCATTTTAGATCGAAAATATATAAAACCAATTTGTTATGCTTGTTACATTTATTTTTCATCTTTCTTTTCACTTAATAATTTTTTAATTACATTGTTTTTGAAATTAATATGCAGCTTATTGATAGAAAAAGAATGAAATATGTTTCAAAATGACTTCAAAGATAAAACTAAATAAAAATTTCTATAACTAAACGAGTATATTTTCTTATTAATTGTTCATTACAGCAAATGAAAAGACCAAATGATTCTGAAGAGGATGGATACAACAGGGTTTAAAGTATTAACGGTAAAAACGATTTGTGCAGAATTCCGTCATAAAAACCATTTTACATATTCCGACACATATTGTGCTTCTTTTAACAAAAAATTAGAAACGTTGAGATAGTTTACAAATGTTTCAAAGTCCTAACACATTGTTCAAGAATAAAATTTGACTTAAATAGAAATGGTAAATTTTTTTTTTAAATATATGCTAAATACTTTGAATTTTTTAACGAAATAAAATCCATTTTTTAACTCGGATTTTAGACATAGGTGTATGTATATATAAATACGGCTGAGCCTATAAAAATGGTTCTAAATATTTGTGAAGAAGTTTAGCTTTACGAAAAAGTCGTGCATGCTTTTTCAGTTTTTACTATTTTCTTACATTAAATGTACGTGCAAGTGCAATTTTAATTTTCACTGCTGTTAAGCAGATGAACGTTCTTTACACAAACAATAACAATTTTAAAAAAATGATTATCCGTATCAGAATGAAAAAACTTTCACTAAAATATTAATTGCATTTACCATGAAAAAAGTGCATACAACGTGGATTTTCGAATTTCTACAAAATTAACAGTGATCTAATTAATTTATGCTGTTAATATTCTAAGATTTGCAGTGTTTTTCTTCATTTGTTCGTATGCAATATAGACATCAAATTACTTTTATACCGTTATATACTAAATTCTACAATTCTCTGTTCATTCGTTATAAGTTCCCATCTGTTCTTTCTTAAACCATTTTTAACTAATTTGCTTGAATTTCTTTGAACTATTCATTATTCATAACAATTCTTAAAGTATGAGTCAACACGTGATTCAATTCTTATACAGATTTGCTTAATAGCTAGACATGCAAATCCTATATTTTACCTTTATTTATTGTTGCATTGTTTTAATCACATGTTAACTTTGTACAACATTAAATTTGTTGAAAATATTTTGATTATACTAAGTATCCTATATGGATTTTCTTGAAAAACTTTAGTACAATTACAGTATCAGAACAAAGGATGTGAAGTACCATTTATCAGCAGTACCTAAAATTGAAGCATACGTTTTCCAGAGCAAAAAAAGAAACTTAGAAAATGAGTTGTAATCGAGTTTTATAATTTCCGTTCATGAATTTAGCGGCCATTTAGGATATTACATAAATGAGAGAATTGGAGAAATATGAAGAAATATGAAAGTGCACGATTTTATATCTGACAATTATGACATCATTCGTCTTTGCATCTCTTTTGCATCTTTTGTATTCTTTAATAGATTTTCTCTTTCAAGTGAACTTCATTATAGTTCCTTTCATCCAACATATAGCTGACATCTAACAATGAAACGATGTTTCAAAATAAAAAAAAAACGACGTTAAATGATGAAACAGCAACTGAAACGTAAATAAATACCAGCAAAAATTGCTATTTTAGGATGGAATAATATAACTAAGAATAAAAAAATAACTCAGAACAAAAAAATACTCATTCATTTCAAAAATTATCTACTCCTATTATTTGTTATGAAAGCTGCTAGTAAGATTGATTGAAGCCAATTTCCAATCCCTTAATTACAATGAATGATTTCTGCACTTTCTTTGAAAGGTAGTAAGTATTGCATTCTACAATTGAAATAATATGATTGATAAAGAATTCATACTATTTCAGTCAAAAGTGTATGCACCGATGCAAAAAGATTTCACATCTCCATGAAGGTAAACTATTGTTCCAAATATTCTCGATATATTCAATATCTCAGGATAATCTGCAAAAGAATTTTATTCTGAAATGAATTTCAGCTAAGAACTTATAACAATGAACCTCTGTTTCATTCGTTCAAGAATTTAGTATGTAACGGTGGGAAAGTAATTTGATGTTTGTATTATATATGAACAAATGAAAAAGAAATGCTACAAATCTTAAAATGTTAACAGCACAAATTAATTAGATCACTGTTAATTTTGTAGAAATTCGAAAATCGACTTTGTGTGCACTTTTTGCATAGTAAATGTAATCCTTTTATTCTGATAGGGATGATACGAAAATTAATTAAATATGCAGAAAAATTAATAAATTAAAACTAATCCTCTAAACGATTTCAGTTAAAGAACTATAACACAGCACTGAAATTAAGAGGAATAAGCAAAAAATATGAACAGCAGACTTAAAACCTATTCAATAAATAAGAATAATATTATTGGCTAACTATCATATTCCTCGCATTTACATATAGTTTTCATTTTGCATAAACAACCCTCCTACACCTTCCCTTCTCATTTTCATCAATTCGTGTTCACTACCAGGTGACTTCATTAAAGTCAAAAATATTTCTGGAAAAAAACTGCCTATCCAAGGTTTTGGATTCATTTCCCGATACAAATATATAAATGTCACACATAATTGGCATTCCTTCCGGATAACTATGTTCCGACTTTTGTGAGTCCCCAGAACATCGCTTCACTAAAATTGAGTAAAACTTTACACTTTTGTTTCCTTTAAGGAACTCATTTAACATAGCATTACTTTTGAAGGTCAAGTTCGCTACTTATGCCTTCAATTTTCGAAGCAAAAATCTGAACGCGTTGAAATAAAATTTCACTCAGAATAAAGTAGTAAATAATACATTTTTATTTGTGATGAAGTTGCTTAGTTGCCAAATTGAAAACAACACATAAAGATTTGACAAATAAGAAAATAGAGAGGACACTGAGAATTCTTTTTTTGTAGTAAATTGGAAATTAAATTATTGTGCTAATCTTTTTTCCCCGAGAATTACTCGAGAAAATCCAAATGTACAATTTTCAGATGTAAACAAAGCTGGGAACAAAAATTGTTTTTTAGTGGATATATTTGGGTGCTCCATTATGACTTATGTTTCGAACATATAAACAAATGCTTATTTTTAAATTGGATCTTAATTTATTAAATTGAAAGAGCGGTGGGATTAAACAAGAACTTAAATTTTGAATTCATTACAAGATGCTCGTTATGTTGTGCTTCCAAATAGATTGTAATTGAGATTTCAAAATGGTCAAACATTTATACTTCGATTTAGAAGAATTATTTTAAAATGATGTATTTAATGTTTGAAGCTTATTTGAATGTCCGCTAACTGAGCTCCAATAGAAAAGAAGTAATGCTGAAATGCATGCCGTGGTCCTCTTCATCTGCATAAAATTGTTAAGAACAATTTCAAACCAAAAATGAAAGTTCAAAATGTAATCAATCAGTGGAAAAATAATGAAAATGAAATGAAATAATACGAGATTCTTGAATAGGAAGGAAAATGGGAAGTCCAAAGGGGAGAAAGGAACAGGGCAAGACGAATGCTGAATATCGTGATGTCCAGATTGAAGCAAACAAAATTATTTCCCAAATGACGTATGCGCTACTGTTGCACGGATAACACAATCACCCCCTACTGCACCCCCACCTCCACCTTCACTTCCACCTTCACCTCCACCCTCACCTCCACCCTCACCTCCACTTCCACCTCCACTTCCACCTCCACTTCCACCTCCATCTATCTCCAACTCACCGCAACACAAAGCACTCTCTCGGATGATGTAATGTAATAGGTGTGTGGAGAGAGAGCTATTGTGGCATCTTCCTCACTCTGCTAAGCAAAACATTGTTGTAAGGAAGCATCTGTTGCTTCGTAAAAAGTAGTAGAGAAATGCGCCGAGGCGATCCTCATGTCGTCGGTCGCCACTTTGCCGTAACTTCGCAAATCTGAAATATTCAATAGCTGAACTCTCTTGCAGATTTTTCCATTGTGCCACTGTAAGTGTTCTGGAATTTTAAACTCAAAGATATGTGGAGAGCGGTATCCGTTCTCTTCAGAAATATTTTCATCAATGCAGCTGGTGCAGATGCTCTTTGAGATGCCTGTCAATTCGATATCTGCTCGTGCTATCCTCCCACTACCTATTAATTTGTGGCTCAAAGATTTACGACTCAAAGATAGTTTGAAATACTCCAAAAAACATTTTACATCAAATATTCTTTTGCCTTTTGTAACGAAAGAAGATGATGAGCACGAGATAAACCTCAAAATGATGTAAGCCTGAGCCATACTTAAATCTGCTAGGATTTGAAATCTTGACAAGCTTCTGTTCTGCTTAGCAAATCAACACAAAACATGTGATGCACATCGTTTTACACTTCACTCTTCACTTAAATACAAATGCATATATATATAATCGGTAGTTTGAAGTGAGGAAAGAGCACTTCTTTTCAGCAAGTAACAGAAGTAAAAAACTTTCAATGAAGGGATGGAACTTCACTACTTCTGAAACACATAATTGCTCAGCATTTCTGGACAATGAAAAGTGCTCTAATTCACAACAATTGTTTATGGTACATTGTTTATTCCGAATGTGAATAGCAGCTATTTCGATATGATTATCCAGACCTGCAATCTATGTATCTGTCATTTTTTAAATTTCGTCTTTCCCTCTTTCCCTGTCTCTTCTCTTTGTTAACCCTATGATATCTAAATATGTTGAATTTCACTAACTGCATTATTTAAATATATACTCAGTCCTAAGTGCGTTGACGTGAAGTGCGCCAATCTTTGCAACTTGTTGTGCTATTACATATATTTTATGTATTCGGAAAGAATACAAAATTTATCAAAAAATTGTTGACAGTATATATCTCACCAGCGGTCTTATCATTGTTTCTCCAACAAACATATCAACAACAGTCTATTTGCACTGCCTGATTGACAGAATGTATTAGCTATTGTCCTCAGTCCTTCCTAACCAGTAAACACAGTCAATGTTGATATCATTAGTGTCAGTAATAAAAGCTTGCTGAATTTTTATTTTAAAAGCAGTTTCAAATTCTCCGTTATATTAGTACATATCTCTGACATGTAACGAGTGTAGGAATTTATTTTGCTTACAATTTGCAGTTCTATGCCGGAATTACTTTTTCCCATTTAAGTAATATGCTTACAGAAAAATATTAAAATCTTCGCTGAAACAATTATACGCTATGTTTTATATCATTGTTAGACATTATAGAAAAGATTTTGTGGCAGTTTCTTCTCATCTTTCCGAGGCAGTCATCGTGCAACAATAAAACATTGTTTGGATTATCCGTAACATCACTCTTCGAACCAGCTGGGTCGAAGAGGAATCAGGAAGATAACAGAGAATTGGAAAATAAAGGAATGGAATGTGCCTTTAAGAAATGATTCCTCACTAAATTTATGATTTTAGTGATTTTTATCACAAATAAAAAAAGTATAAAAATCATTTTATAGTAATAAAGGCCTAATTTTTACAGAATCCACATTTCTTCTACCTGTTCAGAATGTCAAATATTACTGCTCTGATATGCGATCTTTCTTCATATGTAACATTTTTTAAATCATTTTACACAAACATTTCATTTCTTTTCCAACTCTCTACATTTCCCATTTTCATCTCAACCAATATTTACAATGATCAAGAGATTCATCCTGATAAGAAATCAATTTAAAATATTTATGGAAGATAAATTTGTGTAAATGATCCTCAACAGATTTTTAATCTTTTCATCCATGAATTATTTACATTGAATGTCACAGGTTAAAGCATAACAAGTAAATATAATACTTCTCCCTCTAAATGAGCAATGCATTCTGAAAGTATCTCTCAAAACCAAATTATTAGGAAGACTGAGAAGAATAAATGCTTTCCATTTCGAGAATGAATCATAAACAACCAAATAACAATTCTTCTTGGTCCCCTTTTCACACACTACAAAAGTTGCTGCTAATTTGAAGCGCCTCTGCACAATAAATACCTCTTCCTCTCTTCTCTATTTCTCTTCTCTATTTCATATTGCAGTCAAAATGTATTCAATATTTAAATGTGTGTATGTGTGTATGTCTACGTATACAAATGTCTACGTATTCGTGCAATATTTGTGAGAGTGTTTGCATTCAAGCATGCTAAAGTTTCAATCCGGTGAGATGGGTGGAATTGTAAGATTGAGTTGTGCTGTTTGTAAATAGAAAGGAAATTAACATCCTGAGAGGGAGTGAAATTGATTCAAATCGGATAATAATAATCATTCTTCGAGATGTATAAGTCTCAATGTATATGTATTTTTCTGTCTGACTATATTGTGTATTCATAAAATTTTTAATGGAAACATTTGGTGGTATTGACGCATTATGGACGATGATTAATACAGGTAGAGATTGTAAAGGCTTTATTACCAATCCTTTATAATTCTATGTCAATTTCATCATCTACCGCTCGATGATGATATAGTGGGCGGATGGAGATATCCCTGATGCATTTATGTATATAGAGAGAATTAAATGCACCTGATGATAACCATCATCAACTCATCAATCCTTTTTCAAAGCTCATTCGAATTTTTTCATGTGAATATATTATATTTGAAGTGTCATGTAAGTTTTCAAATGTGGCAATTTGATAAAATTTCATTTGAAATGTAATACAATGTCATAATATGACATAATAGCAGTAACCTTCTCCTCCTACTCCTTATCCTATCTTTCTAGCACTCATCAATTTCTTTTGTTTATCCAGCAGTCAAATTACTCCAGGAGCATTGATTACTTACCACAGTGACCGATCTTTTTGTCCATCATTCTTAACTCATTGTTTTTTGTTTTGTTTAATTTTTCTCCTCCTGGTCATTTTTTGTTTGCACTTTCAAACAACATCAAATATCTGAAGCTTTATTTTAAGGACTAATTTTTTTGCTGTATCTTCGTTAGTTGAGCATTATTATCAGTAATTGCTAGCATATAATTCAAAATTAATGATAGACTCATTCTTGTATTATATAAGTTTGCATCTCTCCGATATGTCAATTAATATATTTTCATTGTCAGCTTACACATTTTGATCACATTCAGCCGTAATACAACACAAAATTATGTTTTGTCCAGAGACTGGAACATTATTGATTAATTAATTGATGTTGAATTTTCGTTTTAAAATTCTGAGCTATAATAGTCGTTAATTGTCTGAATCCTGTCCTCAAAAAAAAATCCAGAAAAATATCAAACGTTTAGATTTTGTTTAGATTCAAGTAATACTATGAGATTGAATTACCAAATAATGTTTGTGGTTTCAAAAGCAATCTACTGCTGTGAAAATCGGGAGCGAATAAACTAAAACATTACCGATTTTTTTGTAAATTCAACTCAGGAAAACTTATTTGGGATGAAAGAAAAATATTTCGGATGCTCTTTCATCTCCGAAAATAGGAAATACAGTATTAGTTGAGAAAATGGAATTAAAAATTTTCTTTGAAAAATACCACATTTCGCTGTTTGGAAAAAGACTAGATTTTGTTTAAATATACTTCTCTTGTTTTGTTTAAATTCGTAATTTTAAAATTTTCAAAATGTACTATAAATACTTTAGGCAAATGATATTACTGTATTTATTTTCAAACTTTTTTCAGCCTTTTTTTTTGGAATTTTAGAATGAAAAGATTTCTTTGTTTCTAAATTTAAATCCAAAATTCCATAATTTCTTGAAATTAGCGCTTATTTGAAAATTTATGATTTTTATAGAATTTACGCAAGATTTCTAATGCGTCGCATTAAATACAATAAATTTCGGTTTAATCTAAATAAATAAATTTTAGAACATGCAATGCATTTTAGTGTTTAATTGAGCGATTATCCTCAAACCATTTACCACATGAAATATTTTTTGTTTTACTGCTATAGTTTGTGATAAATTTCAAGAAATGAAGAAATAATGCCATAAGTTAAAGGCCTTTGTTATAATTATGAAATTTAACGTATATGAATCCAATTTGCCTTTTACACTTTACGATTTCAACATACTATTCTCTCTTTTTTTTTCCATGAATAAGAAACCAGTCTAGTGAATGCAGTAGAATTAAACATATGTACTTAAGCTTGTCACAGTATCATTATTGTCGCTATTTTTATTTGTGTCACAGAATATTGTTGATAGGTTGTGCAGCAGCCATTAGCTATCTCTGTTATGAATAATGAATCATTTCAATTACCTTTGTTGACTATAATATTTTTTTAAATGAAAATATTTTCAATATTTTCATTTAAATTGTTTGATTGTAACAAATCTATATCGCTTTTTTTCTATGAAGAAATAATCAATGTTCTTTAAAAGATTATTGGTTAAAAAGTGAATGAAGCTAAATTTTTTGTATTCTTTTTTTGTATGTTTTGTTACACTGTTTTATAGTAAATTTGTTTCAAATTTCCACATGGGATGTTCGTTTGATTTTGTGTTTTCATCTCAGTTAAACTTAAACTAAATCTTAAGAAGTGCATTTTACATTTATAAAGAACCAAAAAATGAGTGGTTTTATATATTCAGTGACAGTTTGATTTTAAATTGTTAGCAATATATTCGTTCTAGTCGTATCAGATTCGTGAAAATTTGAAAATCTTAATGTTGTATTAAGCAGGATAATTAAACTCCCTGCATGTTTTAAAATGCGTCATGCATTTTCGTCCACAAGCAACTGCTGTAACAATGCATTCAAAGCCGTGCGATCTAATCATATACAATGCCTCACACATATGAATAAGAGTGATTTGGAACAACGCGACATCAGTGGACAAACACCGCTTCATGTAGCCGCTAAACTTGGCTTTTTGCAGGCTATCGAGTATGTTTGTCCTACTGTTTGTTTTTTTTTCCTTTTCATTTTCTAAAGTAATAAAACGAAAGCACTCTTGGCTGTGTAATATTTTAGTTTACTACAACACGAAGCACCAGAAACACAGGATGCTGTATCAGTATTTGGAGAAAATCCGGCCCTCGTTGCCGCAGGTGAAGGACAGACATCAAGTGTTGAATTATTATTCAGTGGAAATTCGAAATATGCTTTAACCCGGGCACAGCAGCGGGATGTCAATGGTACCACAGTTTTAATGGCTGCTGTTGCACGAGGAAATAATGACTTGGCTCTATGGCTTCTGAGACGTTTCGGAAAGAAATTGGCAATGTTACCCAACAACTTCCGTATGCTACCGCTGCATGTCGCTGCTGCGAAAGGTATGTGACACTATTTTTATAGATAACGCCTTATTCATTGCTAGTTTGTCACTAACTGAACTTTTCAAAGTTTAATGAGCTCAATAAAAGAATTTTAGCATTTATTTTTATATTTCATACTTCCTAATGCGAAATGTTCTTATCCATAAAATCTTAGCTTTATAAGTAGCCATCAACATTTTGATATTTAATACTTTGTAGCTTTATGATAAAAACTTATTACACATTAGATTGTAACAGAACAGCATCAGATTCCTAACCTTTATAAAATGTTGCTACCTAAAAAATGCATTCTCATCAATTTTATTCATTGTATTTATTAACAATTTTGCACTTTATTTACATAAACATATGATTCTTTTCAAATGATTTTAAATAAGTTTTAAAAAAATTTTAGGCAATATTGAATTTATTCGTAACGCAATCAAATATGATCGACGTATGGTTAAT